AATACAAATGTGATGTGCATGAGTTGTTAATGGTTAATAATGCCTAAATAGAACTACTATTGATTTAAAAGTATAGTATGCATGATACACAAATTTATGAATAAATTGTGTATGTTTAGATGTTATGAATATGTATGTATGATGGTTGTACCAACCATGAATATCATTTAGGATAGTATACTTTGATGCCATGAGGAGAAGCCATGAAGGTATGAAAGTGATACTTGATATTAAGGCCAATTATGCAAGAAGAAGGAATTATATTGAAATAAATAAATAACTAGCATTGAAATATTTGTTGGAAATGTTAGTTGAGAAATGGATGAATCAGATCCTAAGAAGTTGAATTATAAGGAATCGGTGATAATGTAATAATGCTCTAGATCGAGAGCCTCAGAAATTTAAACTTTGATTATACTTAGTATAGTTGTCATTGTACTTGTCAAATGCTTCCAAGTACTGACCTCCCCTTCACGGGGGAGGCCACCTCACAGTTTCAGGTAGAACTTGAAGGTTGCTACTACCAGCCGCTGCTTCGGGAAGTTTCTGAGGAGAAGACTTGGTTCGTGCTTCTCCCGTTCTTATTTTGAAAACAATATGAATAATGCTCATGGATAATATTTTCTGAATAATTACTTTGGGGGGCTTGCATGCCTAATTATGCCAAGTGTGGCTTGAACACTTGTATCAATTGTTTCCGCTGCTTTAATAAATGTTTTACATTATGTTTGTTTATGGATGTACTATGTGTGAATGGTATTCAAGACGCCTTGTATAGTGTGGATGAATCGGACTGCGGTTGACTATTCGTACTGTACGGCGGGTTGTTGACGTGTCCGGATAGGTCCGGGGCGTGACATGGCCACTGTCCACTGTCACCCAGATTGATGCCGTAAAATTTTTTGACCCAAATGTATCCGGTCTTTCCCTTCATGTGAGTAATCTTTCCCCTGTTCACAAACTGCTATTCTACTTTGTTCACTCCAACCTTATTCCTCGCCTGAAAGGAAGGCTGGTTTCATCTAGACTAGAAGTTGCCTACATGTATCTTTTAGCCACTAAAACTCCAATTAATCTACCTGGCCTTATTCTTGCTCATCTCAAGTTTACCATCAGTGATCGCTCTAGGAAGGTTGGGATCCCCTTTGGTACTATCCTGACACAACTGTTTGTCAAAAGGGAGTTTCTCTAGATAACCTTCCCTACCACATAATTCACAAGAATCTTGACACCAAGGGCCTCCAAAACTATGGCATAGTTGTCCATAATTCCAAGCTCGTATTCAAGGAAATGCCTACACCCATTCCCTCAGCAAAAGCTCCTAAACCGAAGCCTGGTCCAATTGATCCAATGCTTTTTGTCACCCTTGTCAAAGATCAGCTACACCTTATGGAGCTCACGTTGCTACGACGGTTTGATTCATTGGCAGAATCGGTGACAACTCTTTCCAGTCGGCTTGATGAAGTTCGCACTGAACTAAAAACTTTTCAAAGTGAGGTATTGGCCAAGTTTGAGGAAGACAGTGCAGGGCTCCACAGAAGGATCGTCTCTTCATCCGATGAAGATTAATTCGCTACCATAAACACCTTGTTCAAATATTCTGCTTTTGGGTTGGGATGTCTTACTTACTTACTGTCTGGCACTGTTTTGATCATTTTCCATTTCCTTTTGGTTGATGCCAAAAGGGGGAAATAATCAGGTGCCTACTTATTTTGCTGCAACACTTAAAACTGCTCTACTACTATGTTTCGATCTCGTTGTTTAGACACTAATCTGCAGGACTGTCTCCGACACCTAAGGTTTGTCATCAACAAAAAGGGGGGATTTGTTGATTATTTAGTTTTGTTGATGTCTAACCTTAAACAGGATTGAACTCTATCCTTGGGTCCAAACAATAACTCATTACTTAACTTATCATGCAGGATGGACCTTTGGATAGAACTACCATTGGAACGAACCAAGTTCTGCCCATACTAAGTGATTTAATTGCCTATATTTCATCTATACAAAGCTATATTGTTTTACACGTGGCACATTTCGCATGTATGACTAGGCACCCACGTTATGGAAATAATCATCACTTGCACTAGTTGATAGTCTTGCTATATTTATAGTAGTCCGTAGTATGCTATATTTGGTAAAACCATCCTTGTTTGAAATAATAAATGAATATATTTTTGAAAGGATCACGGGATATGAAAATCATTGTAGCTTAATTTAAGTTAATTACATAAATAAGTTGTGGCTACTTATTGTCCGTATATGATGGCTCGTAAATCATGAATCAATTTTGCTCATGATTGAGCAAATAAAAGAGGAGCTAATAGAAGGAAAGTAATTCAAAATATCAAGGCAAGTCTACAAAGCCTCTAAAGGAAGGAGAATCAACGGATATCCTCTGGGCTATATATAGTCGAAGAAAGAGAGAAGAAGAGGTGGGCTTGACCGAGCAATTGCAGAAAAAATTACTTATAAAGAATTATCAAGACCAAGGCATCTGGACCTGCTCACAAAATTCTAGATATAGTTTCTTTTCCCTTCTTTATCTTGTAACTAGATTTTGAGGAAAAGCTAAAGTGTAGCCTCCTCGGATTGGGGTCGTGTGTGTGAGAGCTTTGTTGTAAAGTTGAGAGACTCTCTACCCGCAAGGTAGAGATGCATAACTCTTGCTAGAGAGGATAGAGTTGGGGTGGCTCAAGGGTAGATTAGGAGAATTTACCTTGTAACCACAAAAGGCTTTTTTAGTGAAGTTGTTTAAAATTCCTCCGAGGGAGGTCTAGGTTTTTTAATCCCTTTGAGCCAAGGGATTTTCCTCATTAAATCCTTGTGCACTTTACTATTTCGCAATTCCCTGAACCCCACATTAGAACTGTGCGAAAAACTGTCACGGTTCCACACACACACAATTCACCCCCCCCCCCCCCCCCCCCCCTCTTGTGTTGCTAACTGTTTCATCAAAGTACATTAAGGATGGCGGATCAGGTTCAGGTAGATGGCGTTGTGAAATTAAGGAGGTGATACTCTTGTCGGAAGGAAAGGGGGTTTCCTTTTCGAACTGTCTGCATGAAGCCAAATGGGTTGCGCATCATCTTACCAATCCTCAGCTGGGCCGACAAATTTTTACTCAGGCTCGTTCTCTTCCAGCCCGTGTCAAGAGTGCTTTCTCTTTAGACCTTTTTGGGCTTCCTCATTTTAGATCCTATTATTAATTGTTTTTTTTATTCTTTGATTGTTGTTGCTTTTAGAAGGCATGCCTTCTCGGAGAGGTTTTGGTCTTGTCCCCCCTCTTCTTTTGTAATGTTTTGATTGATTAATAATATTCTGGTATATGTCCCCCGACATATACCCCATTGGTTTTGGTGGTTGGCCTTCCGGAGTAAAAAAAAATCACATGTTTAATGAATTTTACTTGAATACTCCTTCCGTCCCAAAATGAGAGTCTTGTTTCTTTTGGGCACAAAGATTAAGAAAGTGTGGTAGAAAGATTAAAGAACCTTACTTTATTGTACTACTTACTGTTCATCCTTTTACTTTTATTGTTAATTAAAAAGGAGGGGTATAAATGGTAATCCACTTTTAATTCTTTACAAAAAATGGAAACAAGACCATAATTTTGGGACATCCCAAAAAGGAAATACATGACCATCATTTTGGGACGGAGGGAGTAACATGTAGTTATTAGAAAAGTCCTCATATATTTATCAAAATATGAAAATGTGTCAAATAATAAAGAATTTCATAAAGTGCAATGCGTGATGTGTCAATTATTGTAGAACAGTGAAAATACGTAAGATGAAGTATTGAATTATATCTAAATATAGTACTACCTCCCCTCCGTCTCATTTTACTTAGCGAATCTTGACTTTTCAAGTTAATGGAGTCTAACTTTGACTGATTATGTTTATATAGATAAAGTATTAATAATATGAAAATGTATATGAAAATATTCTTTGTTAAAAATACTATCATAAAAGTATAAAATTATTAAATTTTGCATAAATATATTAGTTTAAATAATTGGTCAAAGTTTACCATCTTTGACTGGAAAAATCAAAGATGGCTAAGTAAATTGGGACGGAGGGAGTAGTATTTTTTTAAAGGAAAAACAAATTTTATTGAAGAAATGGTATGCAAAGTACATTTAAAAAATAAAAGAAAAATAAAAGAGAACAAAATAAATATAGAAGTAGTAATGCACATTATTGTAATATTCACAATTTCAAATAATTAATAATAATCGCTTAATTACAACATACTGTCGTATGAGTTATGAGCAGGCGGGTAGCAAACGTACATAAAACTGTAATAATAACAAAGCAGAAATATGTGACATTATTTTTTATCGGATTACAGTAATACTACGTATTGTTTACACAATGAACTGAATGAAGGTAAGAAAAATTAAAATCATACTTCTTAAACAATTCTGAAATTTGTTTACGTGTGTAAAATCATACTCGGTATCATATTGTTTAAACTTAACTCTTTCATACTAGTATATAATTTAACTATAATACGTTGTGCGAAGTATATGTGAACAAAGGCGATTTTATAATAATGGAGATAATTTGGTACTTTTACAAACCAATATGGGCAATTTTAACTTTTATTTAACTCTGTTTTTCTCTAATACTACGGGGTAAAACTTTAGATAAAGTACGTTATTAAAAAATAATGGAGATGTGAGTCATATTTTGCCAAAAGTTTGGGAAGATTGCTGATGTATATATACTACTCGTCTACTCCGTAATTAATATACATAAGTGTAATTATGATGGAATAAAGCAAAATGACAAACTAAATTGTCTGCGCTTCTTTGTTATGAAGCAGCAGTCAATCCATGCAATTTTGGACGTGATTTTCATTATGGGTCATCCGGAAACAGTCTCTGTACTTTAGTACAGGGGTAAGACTGCGTACATCCGACCCCCGTTACCCCACCGTAGGTGGGAGCCTTTGAAGCATCGGGGTAAATGAAAATGAAATGAAAGTGTAATTATGAAATCTGTAAATGCATACCAAAATCAAAATGTTTAATTGGATCATTACATTTGTTAGAATATTAGAACCATCTTCCTCACATCACATAATGCTGCACGCATTAGCATCCTCATCACTCCACAACTGAGAAGCATAAGAGTAATTACAGGGGCATGGGCCGTGATGCACATACCCCATTTCCCCAGGATTTTTGTTGCCTTCACCTCCGCCCTTCTTTTCCCCTCCCCCACCCTTCTCACCGCCGGCAGCATCCTTCTTGTCGCCTCCGCCGCCTTTCTCCTTTTTCGGCGGCACGATTTCCACATTTCTCTTCATTTGCTTCTTCAGATTGTCCGCCAGCGCCTTCATGTCGAGGATCCCGGTCACCATCAACTGATCTTTCTCCCTCTCAACCGCCATCTCCATGTACCCTGCAAAGCCGTTTCTACTAACTCGTTAATCACTTTGAATGTATTCATTCATATACAGATTCATTCTGGCCAGGTAATTAATCAGGTTATATATGATCGGATTACCTTTTGATTTGCTTACAATTTTGTGGATTTTGTGTAGGCAACCATCACAGTGAAGGTTCATTTTCAAAATTGTCGTCGTCACCATCTGCCAGAATTTCCCCCAAACAATACCAGCAAAAATGTAAGTAAACATCTATTTCGCTTAAAGCTAATGGTAAAAAAACTACAGAACAAATCGCCTGCGGTTTATTTCCACAATATTATAAAGCTCACGTTGAGAAACGATTTTTCCCGTTTTCCGGGAAGAGATAAATGCAGATATTCAAAAACAAAAATCGAAAATCATATCAAATCAGAGAATTGAAGAGCACTATGAATACGATCGATGCATCTGAATGCTAAAATTCTGGGGGAACGGAAACAGACAAAACAGAGCATCTGCAGTACAGAGTGTGTGGAAGAAAAAGCGAAATGATGAAAGCAACCGCCGTGCGTACTATTGATCGATCTGCTGCATATAGTAGCAGGCCGGACTGAGTGGCTGACAGTGAATACTATATATATGCAAAAAGTAACCGTGGTACCGTATATACCTGCTTCTTCTTGTCATCCCAATTTCCGTCATTATCACCATCTTCTCCGCCGGCGCCTTTGGCGCCCTTAGGCTGTGGAGAGACCAGAGCAATTTTTTTGTGTAGTTTCGCCTCCAGCTTTTCTCGGACCTTCGCCGGATCTACGTTTCCTATGACCGTCACCTTGCCGGAGTCACGATCAAAACTAACATCATCCACACCTTTCAGCAAGCAGCACGACGCGTCGACGAGTAAGAATAGTAAGAGGAATACAATAAATCCAGTCGGAGCTAGGTAAATCACAGATCACAGCGGATTTCATGGATTTGGATGGAAATATAATCAAATGGGGACGGAAAATTAGAAGACAGTAGTACCGTCATAGCTGCGGATGGTTGTGGAGATTCTGGACATGCACTCAGCACAATGCAAGTCCATCTTGAGAATCACATTACTGTTGCCGCCTCCACCGCCACTGTTTTCGTCCTTCTGGTGGTCTCCTCCGCCTCCGCCTTTGTTCTTCTTCTGCAAACGGCCCATGCATCATTATACGTATTACAATAATCCCCAAAATAAAGCACTAACCATTTTATATGAACGAAGATAGAGATGGAGAAGGACGGAAGAGATCTTACCCCACCCATTACAGAATCCTTGGCTTAATCCTGAGATTATGGAAATAGATTGTTGAAGCTTGAAGAATTTTGAAATGGAAGTGATCAGTGGTGAGTGGTGAGAACGAAGGAATGTGCGAGTATATAGGGCTCGGCTCTGGGCCGGAAGAAACAACAGAGGAGGTTATTGTGGGCCTCCGATCAATCCACAATTCCACGCCCACTTTTTGTCTTTTCCGGCTGTACTATTTTAAAAAATGAATTTTCCTATTTTGCTGTAAAACAAAAAGAGAACATCACATTTATTGATTTATATCTACGTTAGCTCGTCCTTTAAAAAAAGGTTATTGTTTGAGAAATTACCCAAAATAGGACTAAAAATGTTTATATATTCTAAAATAGGACTTTAATGTTTTTTATTCTCAAAATGAGATTAATTACTGTCATGTTTTGACAGTACTAGACTTTAAACATGGCAGTATTTTCCAAACTTTGCAGTAATTACTCCTATTTTGGGAATAAAAACATGACAGTCCTATTTTGAAATTTTCAAACTTTTTTACAGCAATTTCGGGAATTTTCCTTTATTGATTCCAGTCATCGAATCTTGTCAATTTCAAAAATATTAAATTAGATATTGTTTCAATTTTTCTAAATTGATTCATAATATGAATGCACATCAACTATTTGGAAAATTTCAAAGTGAATGTTAATTTCTTTTTTGATGAAATATTTTATTGATTGTTTCACTTCTATAAAATTTTGACATATATGCATGATTTCTTCATAATAGTTCTTCGTATGATAAAAATTTTCTAACTCTATCCTACTTCTACAATTTTAACAAATTTTTGATATTTTTTCTTATGCATTGAATTTGATGTTTATAAAAGTTGTTAAATGGTTGAGATATACTACTCTAATTATTTATTTGTATCTATACAAATTAGTAAACATAGCTATTTTTGTTAAATTAGAGTGTAATGTGCTTAATTATTACATATGACTAGTATGTGCTTAATAATTAAGGATTTAATAAGATTGTTATATTTCTTATTGCTAAATTCACTAATAATTAAGCAAATGGATGTAATTATACTAAGTCAGTTACGTTTTTAATGAATACTCGTCTAATTGGATAGTTTTGCAAATGAATGTGTTGAGCCGTTGAGGTTAGTACCTCCGCACACCGAGAGGCGAGAGCCCAACACAATCTCTGGGGTTTCGTCGGATAATGTGTATATTAAGGTGATTGTTTAATGCAATGATGATGACATTTAGTATTGTGGAGCAAACAAGATGGGGTAAAATTAGGGATGGATCCAACCGGTTCGGCTCGGCCCGGCTCGCTACTGTACGGGCCCGACTTGGTTGGTGCTAACTGGGTCCGGGTTTTTACCCGGTTGGGGCGGGTTGGGCGGGCCGGGCTCGGGCCACGTTTTTCTTGAACTGGCCGGGTCGGGCCCGAACTTTTTTTTCATTTTTTTGTTTTTCTTGGTTAGGGCTGAGTGTTTTTTTTTTGGGGGGGGGGGGGGTTTGGGGGTGGGGGTCGGGGCCTCGGGGGTTAATTAGAAAGCAAAAAAAAAACATAGAACCGGGCCCGAGCAGGACCGGCCCAGACCCGGCTCGGACCCGATTTATACCCGGGCCGGTTCCGGTTCACCCTTTCCCAAAAAAAAGCCCACCCAGGCCCAGGCCCGGCCCGAAACCGGCCCGGCCCGAGTCCACCCCTAGGTATAATGCATATATATTGATAAATATAGAACTCTAATAACACATCCTTACACTTTACAATGAAATATATGTGAGTATTTTAGATGCTAACAAGATGGCAGTTAGCTAGTATGTTGAGTGCTACAAAAAGAGTAGAGAGACACTAAGGGTGTTTTTGGGAGTTGGTTTTTGGAGAGGAGGGGAAGGCATGTGAGGGAAATAAACCTTCCTATTTGTGTTTGGGAGTTAAAATAATATGAGGAAAAGGTTTTGGGGTTGTTATAAAATCCTTCTAAACCCTCCAAAACCTGATTTTCTAATTCCCCGATTTGAGGGTTTTATAAAATCTAGCTACGAGCAAATGAGAGATTTATCCTCTCAAACTAAAACCGCTTCCGCATAAAATCTTTATGAGCTGCTACTCGCTTCATTTCTCCGCCGTTGAAACCCCTCAAGTCCCCAAACCATCCTCTTTTGAAATTTGCAACTCCCAAACAAGATGAGAGAATCCCTTTCCATCTCCCTCCTCTTCCCTTCTCTCTACTCCCCTTCATTGCCTTCCCCTTCCCTCACCCTCAAACTCCCAAACACACCCTAAGTTATTAAATACGGAGTACATGTTTATCAACCATTTACAATGAAATAAATGTGAGTATCTATACTACAACATGGTAGGTGATTGCGGTGACATGGTGTGTGCTAATAGGGCAACCAAGCCATAAAATATGTCGTATCTGGAGCATTAAATGCACTTCCCATCATCTAGTGTGCCGCCAATGTCTTGGTGTTACAGATCCCATAGTGAAAAAATTACAAGTGTTGATCATGCCAAACCCCTATTTTCCTGGGAGAGATGTACATGTGAGTGTCGGTCGAGACTTGCTTCCCGGGCGGGCCTACCAGATGGGCCATGAGGCTAGTGGGCGCATGGCCCTAATAATCCAAAAGAAAGTAATTATCCACTGATGGTTAATTTAGCAAATGAGTTTTATGTTATATCTATAATTAAGTAGGAAGTATAGCGCTTAAAAGAAATGGGCATTGATATGAAATTGTAAAATCAGCACACACAAAAATACATATGAGTATGTCATAAAAAAATATACATAAATGAATAAGTTTGTTGTATTGAATACATTATGTGTGCCATTTATGAAAATGAGTTTTATGTTATGCTTAAATGATTACAATGTCTAAAAGAATTGTGTCACATTTTTTTTGAATGAGCATGCATCAATTGTGAGCACATTGATTCAAAGAAATGTCCACGGGTGTAACATTATAAAATGAATACAACGAAATACCTATAATTATAAATTAATTTTATTAATAATATTGTTACTTTCTCATGAAAAAAACTATTAATAATTAGGTAAATAACCCTAATTATATTAAATTGTTCTGCAATAAATATATATCACATGTATGAATTTTTGAATGATTTGTAAATTATATCTAATTAGTATAATGCTATAACATTTACAAAAATATGCATTGATATGCAATTTTCAAATTAGCACAAGTAGCGAATGAAAATACGATACTTATGAATTGTGCATAGATATGATATTTTGAAATGAGCATAAAGCACGTACTTAAGAAGCATAAATCACTTAAGAAGCATAATATTTTGAATATTATGTAAGCATATTGATTAGTGTATGCTGATTTAAAATACTTGTTGTACTCGTTTTTAATGCTTCCATACCCATATTCATCTCCTTTGAACCTTAAACTCATTTAAGTATGGCATAAAGCTCATTTCTATAATTCAAGCATGTGATATATTCATTACTGACAAGTTGATATAATTATATTCATTTATCAAAATATCAATAGATATAACAATGAAAATATATAAATTTTATTAGAAAAAGTTATCTATAATTTGTCGGTATCGATTTACAAAATTTATCTTTCTCATTTAATAATGTCTTACTCATGCAAATTTATTTTAAGAAAAATAGCCTTAAATGGGACTAAAACTATTTGTTAATTCCAAAACAGGAGTAGTATATATGTTTTCAGTTTTTATTCTCTAAATAGAAGTAATTACTACCAAATACAGAAAATACTATCATGTTTATAGCCCGATAATGGCAAACATGATAGTAAATTTCCATGATGACAATAACGTGCTTCTATTTAAGGAAAAAAACATAGCAGACATATTTTAGAATTTCGAAACATTTTTACTCTTATTTTTAAAGTTTTCCCTTATTTTAAGCTCAATACTCATGCATTTTAGTATAACAAAACGTTATTTCAATATTTCACACCTAGCTAACTCATTCCGGTTAATAGCATTAGACGTTGTTGGGTTAATGAACCAACGGGGATGGCCCATAAACCCTTAGGCGCATCCCACGAACGTCCCCGGAAGGCCCAAGACAACGAACTACCTTTCCGTTGATTGGGGGAGGCTCGTCCCCAACACGGCCAGGCTTCAGCGTAAGGCCAGGGGACGTACGTACAATAGTCGGCGGGTACCTTGGCCCAGGGGACGTACATAACGTAGTTTAAGCGAGTGCCTAAGAACAGGGACAGAGTCGGATGCTCATCTTATAGGACTCTGGACCCAGCAGGAAGCAGGGCAGCCGGTTCCAGGGGACGAACGTCCCAACCCCTTGGCGGGAAGACAAGATCCTGGAAGAGGCATCGCCAGACGCTTGTCCATTACAGGACTCCGGACCCAGCCGGAAGCAGGGCAACAGACTCCAAGGGACGAACGTCCCAACCCTTTGGCGGGAAGCCAAAGATCCTGGCGGGAAGCGCATTTAATGCGAAAGATTTGGTGGTTAGGATCAAGCCATCCACAGCTCGCCACGTCTACACATCCAACTACCCATTGACAGTATAAATAGAAGCATTTATTTCATTGTAAAGGGTGGACAACTAAGCACTAGAATAGTATAGCATTGTAACAGCTCGTAGCATAGGCTAGGGACGAACGGCCTCATGCCTTTGTATGCTAAGGACGAACGGCCTCAGGCTTTTGTACCGAAATTAATGTACTAAGACTTCTTACTGGGCCACTTCTTGCTTGTTTCTTCATCTATTTACTAACTCCTCCACTCGAGACCCCTAGATTACGTGTTGGGCCTACGGGTTGACGGAATAAACCTCAACACTGGCGCCGTCTGTGGGAACCTGATCAAAAGGTCTTCCAAAACTAGGCTCTCAGCTAAAAACCACCTCCGAAAACAGTTAAAGCAAGTAAGATGGCAAGAAACAACGAGCAAAAGTCCGAGGAGCTGTCCGAATGGCTGGCCCACAGCAGGGGGAGCCGCAACCGGACAGCAGGGGCCCGCTCCAGCAGTTCGTGGTCTCGCAGGGACTTCGGGGTGCTCACTGATATGATCCCAAATGAGGTCTGACAGGATCCGGACGTCCTGCGAGA